TCTGGTTGGTCAGCAGAATCAAAAGCTCTTTGGGTGCCTCAGTCCTGTAAATATCTGGTTGGTTTGCAGAACCGAAAGCTCGATGAGCGCACCGGTCGTGCAAATTTCTGAAAGGTCAGCAGTATCTGAAGTTCGTCGGTGCATCAGTCGTGCAAATTTCTGGGTAGTCAGCAGTATCGGAAGCCCTTTGGGTGTAAATTTCTGATTTGTCACCAGAATCGCGAGTTCACTGGGTGCGCTCTCGAGATGAACCTCCGGACTGGCATCCTATCTCTCCTAGAGCGCATAGTTTCATTCCTGATGCGTCGGAATTTTTTTTTCTAGGTGTTCTGGTAGCTATGATGGCGGTGGCTGACACAGTCAAACATGAGGCGCAGGCAACAGTGGCGACACTGAAAAGAATGGGAATACGAGTGGTGCTGTTAACTGGGGACAACAAGAAGACGGCGTTTGCCATTGCTAAGCAGGTCAGTTACTCGATAAGTTGTCCCGCTTTGGTTTGTCTAAAGCAAAATGAAACACTTGATTTTCACTCAGGTTCGTAATTGAGCGTAACACGTCCTCATTTCTGTTGTTTTTTCGGATTCGGTGTTTGCACTGATCGCAAAATTAATATCTCTTTATCACGCTTACAGGATGAGCCAACGCTTTGTCCTACGTTCGCGACAAGACAAATAAACATACAGCTGTCTCTTTTTTCGCCGAGCCCAAAACTCACCATTTTTCCTATTGCTATTTACAAACATGACGCTTTCAACGTAGCTGATTCTAAGAGTATGCAGGACGGGTATCACATTGGGACCTGGTAACGACGTAGCTCACCGTTTAGTCTCTGTGGCTATGGGGACTCAAGCTCCTGACAAGACGAATAAATATATCTTATTAACCAAGCGCGAGCGCCGTACTGGGAGAATATCGGCCCGAGGTCTTGACAGTACGGACCGAGCGCAGCGAGGTCCGTACAAAAAAGACCGAGGGCCGATAATCTTCCAGTACGGTCCCGAGGAAGCTTGGTTAATAAGAGATTTATTATACGACTGAAGTTCAAAGGAACACAAGTGCGGTATCATTTGGGACCATTCGGTACAGTGCCCGGTCCAATACTGAGAGAATATTGATCGGCAATAGAGCATTTTGATTGGTTGATTTTAGTTATTGGCCCTCTGACTGCCCGAGTCGTGTAATAAATATATCTTATCAGACGTTTGGTTGTGTAGTATCGCTGAGTATTTTTACGAGTTGTGCCGTATTTTGACGAGCCCGTAGGGCAAATAACGAGTAAAAATACTCAGCGATACTACACAACAAAACGTCTAATGAGTTATTTATTATCCAACACGCCAAACTGTTATTTCAGTGCGGGCGAATTTCCCGGATATTTATTTACGGGGAGTGCGTGACAGAAGTATGCGAAGCGGAACGGAATTGGCGCGTTGTTGTATTGCTGTTTCTATTTTCTTCATTAAATGAAGACATTTTCTGGTCATCAACTGAGCTGTTTTTCTTCGTTCGATTTATCAAATGAACTTGGATCTATATTTGCCAGCCATTCTGACTCTTCGTCGTCTGAAATATGATTCAAATTGTCTGCCACTTTTTTTTCCTTTTTTCGTGACTACATTCCAATTCTTCGCTTGCGCGATGCGAGAAAACCTGTTTAAACGGTACTACAATAGACGAGTACAAATACCGCGTGATATTTGTACTCGTATATGGCGTTATTTGTACTCGTCTAGGTGTAGTTGGATAATAAACAACAGTATCTAGTTCTAGTGACAGCAGCTATTGTACTGCTTTTGCCACCCTGCATATCTGCATTAATTTGTTAACATACTTGAGTTGAAACTGCTGCATGTTAATATTTTTGTTGTATCACCACAGGTTGGGATACAGCAGGTATTTGCAGAGGTTCTTCCTTCTCACAAAGTGGAAAAAATTCGTTCGCTCCAAGACAAAGGCTTTATCGTGGCCATGGTGGGTGATGGAGTCAATGACTCACCAGCCCTCGCTCAGGCTCATGTAGGAATTGCTATCGGTACTGGTACAGATGTCGCCGTGGAGGCAGCTGATGTTGTCTTAATCAAGGTGAATGTGCCATCATTGTCTTTATCCTTCATCTCATCTAATTACCATGGAAATTATTTGTAGCTATTTCTTGAATGCAGTGTCTGAGTGTTTAATGCGTAATCCCCGGGCTCAAGCCCTGGTTGGGTTATTACGCCTTGTTGTGAATCTCACAGTCCCTCTTTCCACTTTTATTTGCGTTTAATTTGGTAACTTTTCATCTCAATATGTATACACTTTCCAACAAACCTAAACAGGCGATAAGAAAAGAGAAACTATCAGTTTGTAGGTATTTTAATGCCAGCAAACCAAATTAGTTTAGGTAATTTCTTTGAATAGTGGAAACAGCGAAAGGCAAGACTTGCTATTTAGGTCTGAAGTTTTCCATGTGATTATTCCTGAGGAGCTATTCTGACGATTTTCAGGTTTACTGTAAGGGGATATTATCTTCTCAAAGTAATGTACAATTTTCAAACGTTTCTCCCTCTTCCATTTCTATTGTTGCTGTTTATATAGAGTGATCTCATGGATGTAGCGGTTGCTATCGACCTCTCACGGGTTACAGTCCGAAGAATCTACATCAATTTCTGCTTCGCGCTTATCTACAACATGATTGGAATCCCCTTAGCTGCAGGAGCGTTTGAACCTCTTGGCGTGGTTATGAAGCCTTGGATGGCGAGTATTGCTATGGCAGCGTCTTCTGTATCTGTTGTTGGCTCGTCTCTGATGCTCAAATTGTAAGTTTTATTTATAATTTGGTTTGATATTGTGTAGAATCTCATGTTCGATAATTACTGAGGCGTTTTTACGTTTGGGAGCCTGGATCCTAAGCCTTGATCCTAAGCCTTGTTCTGGCAAACGCCTAGTTTAAACGGGCCGAGATGAAACAACGCCAAGCCTTTGCCCTAGTTTTTTTTTTTTTTTCTTATTTCATTCCGAAAGAGAGGATCGCGGGCTCGTTTCCCAAATGGCGACTGTTGTCACGTATGGTCTCGTATGAGTGATTTAAATCAAACCTCTAAACTGGTTTCGGCTTCCATGTTGCGAAATGAGTTAGCAACACCGAAGTTTTGGAAACCTTGATGTTCAATCATCTAATGATCTGCTCTCTTCTCAGGTACAAGAAACCCGAGGCAGACGAAGGTGTAATGGGTTCAAGAAATCCTTTCTCCTCTGGGTACACGCAGCTGAACACGGCTCCTAATGACTCGTTAGATAGCCAGGCAGAGAGCGGCTTTTCCAACAAGAAATTTAGACGAAAATCTCGTAACAACTCCCAAAACCCCGTAGAATTGAGGTCAATGTCCTTCATTGCGGACGACGCTTAGATTTTCTTATAACAACAACATCGTTCACGAAATAATTTAGAATATGCGTGGATTTTAATAATAATTTAATGTAGGTAATTTAGGATATGAGGTCGCTTTGCCGTGACAGTCTTATCGATCATTGAGTGCCGGTGGTGTTTTTTTTTTTTTTTTTTTTCGGTTTTCACTGTCGATCGTTTTTTTTTTTATATCTTTCTTATTTTAATTGCTACCTTAAAAGAGGCTTTAAGTTTTGTGTAAATGGTGATGTGTCCACGTAGATTAAGATTATGCTTGCAAAATAGTAGTAACCAGTAGATTCTCATTTGGAAATGATCACAACTGAATTAAAAAAACGAAATTTTGTAATAAATATAAAATTGGAATAAGGTTGTTAAGTTAAAATATGATGGGATCAATTATCGCCAGACAAATGTAAGTTAGAATTTTTGGGCAGCCATATTTTTGTACCGATGCATCTAAATGTTGAGCGGTGGTCATTTTATTCTAGTATTGGTTCCAATCTGCTTTGAAGTTTGTCCTTTACATCAACCAGTGTAGATAGTTGTTTTTGAGATTATTTTGTAAAGAAAAAAAAACAAAACAAAACTGAGATTTTGAGATGAAAACAAATACCTGATTAAGACAATAATGATTGGTAATTCTAATTTCTGTAATCGTAAATTATAATGTTTTACAGAATATAGATTAATTTGAATAAGTTTGTTGTTTGTATTGTGTGCAGTTATCTACCTATAACCGCCCTATGTAAAGTATTTGGCATCTCCAAGCACAGGAAGATCATAACCTGTCCCAGTTTACTTAGTGCAACATAGTCACACCTTATCTTAGATTCCCATGCACAGCATTACCTCAGCCAGTCCAATCATCTAAAGCACCGTTGGTGCACCCGAACCCAGTGACTACTTTTTCTTTGTATTAAAAATGTATAATTTATTGGAAATTTTAATTCTCGACATCGGGAAACCGTGTATACAGGTTGCACTTTAACTTTTATACAAGATGTTACTTACGGACAACTTCCTAGGATTATCAGTTTCCTAAGCAAAGCTGAACCACACATTATCCTAGTTTCCTAAACTCATTTTAACCACATCCTTTCCCCGAAGATCATCTTCAAGCTGTCACGAGGTTTCGCTCCTTAGAAGAGTTTGAAACTCGTATGGAATTAGGGATGAATTTTGGCAGGGCAAGTTTCATCGGAACAAAGTAAGAAACCTGAAAACAGCTTTCCTCTCTTGTTTAAACTATTTCGACTTAATGAAGTCACAGTAGAGGTGAAATTTTATTCCGGTGCAAGGAATTATCTATGCATCTCGCAGCTGTGGCTTCTTGGAGTTTCTTGAAAGGCCCCCCAAATATAGAAAGTGAAATTTTCAATCCACTTACTTAGAAATGTTGATGCCTGTAAGTGAACCATCGCGCTGATATGCACTTTAAATCTTTACTGGAGAAATGAAATGTGAATTATATTATTCAAGTTTGTTTTCCATCGGTACACCTGTCTGGATTTAACTTGATCTTATCCCTTTGAATTGGAGTGAGGAAGACTTGAATCTAGTCAACATGCGTGCGCACACGTTTCTGAAAGTAACGCAAGATGAACCGACAAAAAATGGCGGCTGAAATTTGAAGATCGGTTATTTACAATGTTTTAGCAACGAATTATCATCTGAAAACGCGGCGATCTTGAAGTGATGAATCATTCAAACTCAACGACTGGTTACAGACCCTCAAGGCCCATGTTATGTCGCTATTACAATACAAATGGTTATTGTTTCTACGGCGATCAGTGCCAGTTTGTTCATGCGAAGCCTTCCTCCAACGAAGGTCGAGTGGGTAAGTACAACATAGAAATAACGGTCGAGAGATATTCGTTTTTGATCTGTGCATATTTTTTAGGTGATTTAAGTGCAGTTAAAGATATTTTTATTTATTTAGCAAGGTTATATGGTGGAATCGTGTAGTATCTGTGGCAAATTTTGCAGGCATAACGTTCAACAACAAACAATATTGAGTTCTGTTTAGAAGATTCAAATTCGCCTCCTTGGAGATAACCATTCAAATCAAGTCGAATCGACTACCAAAGTCTATTCAGACAAAGTAAAAATGTTAACAAAGTAATTTGGACGGAAGACAGTTTAGGAAAAAAAAATACACGAATTTTAAATCAATGGGATAGGTAAAGAGAGATCTCACAATTTTTCAATAATTTCACTATCATTATGTAGTGATGTACTTTATTGGAGTAAGTGTGTGTCGATGAAAACTAGATATTCCAAGGCTGTGAATTGTGTTTCAAGAACAAGAAAGAACTCGATCATAATTTCATAGAATGGTTTTGGGGAATAATCCACGACTTGTTTATGTCAAGGAACCATAGTAGCTAAGTACCTTTACGTGTATTTTTACGTCAGGTTGCGTTTTCAAACGATGAATTAGTGTCCTTAAACCAAAATGTCACTGGTAGCAATTATGTTTTGTCACTAATTTTATAATTTCCATCGGACAGGTTTTAGAACACAGTTTGATGTGGTAAAATTGGTGGCAGAATTTCCACAGCTAGCAGAATCAGTTTACTATTATTATTATTATTATTATTATTATTATTATTGTTATTTTAATTTTGAGTTTTTTAGAAAGTTATGAGTTTGTACTTTCAAGCAAATCAGTTTTTGATCTAAGTTATGTGAGATCCTGAAATTGAAGACTACATTTACTAACTGAACTTTAAGTAAGACACATGTGTGACATGTGACTCAAAAACCATGTGTTTGTTACTGATATTTGTCTGTCTGAACCCTTGTCAAAATATTAAGAAGAAAAGGCCTTTTCACTGTCAAAGGTACCTGTTACTCAAATTTGAAGATCATAAGGGGTTTGCATGATTTTTTCTCCTTGTACCCACTAGTGTACCATTTCTTTTGAAATTTTATTTATAAATTGATTCTCTTCATTTTCTGCAGCTACTGCACATTCACATAAGTGTTAGATCTAAGATTTTGTTGTCAAATTGAACAATTTCTTTCAGTTAGCATTTTCCTTCATTTCATTACCTTTCTACTTGAAAGCATAATGATAATTATAATAATGATTATGATGATTATAATAGAAATGATGTTGTACAGAGAACTACAGTTGAAGAACTTTAGAAATTGTTTTAGTTGTTGAAAATGCTAAAATAATTATAATTAAACAGGGGTTTCATTAATTTTTTCAGCAGGAGGCCAACTGGTTTTCATAGGCAGGCTAAACTTTTTGAACTAAACTTCTTTGTAAGATAAACCTTCCTTCAGATTGTTAAACCAGGTGGGCAAAACTGTCCTTACAACCGGTCAATTTGGCCGGTGCCTGGCCCTTAATGAAACCCCTGGTTAAATCAACAGTTGTGAGAAAAGTGAGGTGCTCTCTATGACCATGCTGCGACTGCAATCTGACCATTCATTACATCATCTGTCTTTCTGTAATTCATGATTAGAATTTATATTTAGAACCCCAAACTCCTTTCAGAAAAGTTCTTTCTTCTTCTCTTTAATTCAGGACCTGCGAATAATGGACATCCTATTAATAATGGTCCCGTAATGAACAATGGACCTATTGGTCCCAAGGGGCTGAGAAGTGGAGGGTTCAAGAGTAACACAGCTGGTCTTCATCATAACTTAGTTGGCAACATGGCACAGTTGTCGATATCAACAAATAAGGTGACATAATGTTGGTTCTGCTGTTAATTAGAAAACTTTTTAAAATATCCCCTTCATCAGTCTTCTATTAAATAATCCCTCAGCTTTGGATTACTTTTCAACAGTTATGTGACATTATTATGGGCCATTTTCATGTTTGAAAATTTCTGCTGTTTGCACATATGCACATAAACTTGGGGCTGTACTTGTATTTATATATGATAACCATTATTTTATTTTTTTACAACTTTAATTTCTGACCCTGTATGATTGGTATTTTATAAATTAATAACTTTGTGTGATAAAACACGAAATCATGCATTTATATAACAGTGGCCAGCTGAGTTTCTTTAGAGGTTTGAGGACCTGTTCAAATGAGAGGTAACTTAACTTGTTGTTGTGTTATTTAGATGCCTCCAGGTTCCCTTGGTGGGCATCTTTCTCCTCTTTCCCCATCAAAGAAAGCATTTGCATCATCCCTGGCACCTGGAGGCCCTGTCTCACCAGTGCATTCCCCTAGCAAGCCACCGCTTGGATCACCAAAAGCACATCACAATCCAGTCACATCACAAGCATTTGAATTTTTACCATCTGCTGCGGTAAATAGTTTATTTTGAAATGCACTTATTATGATGTTTCGCTATGTGTTTGGTATTTTTATTTGTAATTTGATGATGGTTTTAAGTTAGCAAACCCTCTCAGCAACAACATTTTACCTAAAAGAGTATGTACACTTCCTGCATGTTCCCAGAATAGCCACAAAAACAGTTTTTAAGGACAATGGTCTTGTGACCCACATATCTAAAGAGGTTGGGAGTTGAAACATGAGTAAGGGTTTTTTCATTTAATCTTTCCTCTGAAACAATAATGATAAAGGTTCTTAAACCTCTGTGTGTTCATTAGAACCAAAATCTCCCCCAGCCATCAATACATAACCAGGCGCATGTTCCAGCTCCTCAGCAGATGGAATCCATTGGTGGAACAACCTACTTTTACACTCAACAAGGACAACAGCAGCCTGCTGTGGTAACAATCATACATTTTCGTTCAAAGTAAACCTTTCATTAAATTGATGAACAAAAATATTTTTAGTGATATTTGATTTTCCTTGGCAGGAAAAGAGGCAGAGGTGCTCTTTATCTATAGATGAGACAGTAAATCAGTACATAAATACTAAAAGAAAAAGAGGCATATAGTTTTTTTCCTTTTTCAAATACTTGTATTTTGTCTTTTTTAGCTTTTTCCATCGTACCAGGCATATATGTCAGAGCCATCTCACCTTGCACATCTTCACAGCACTCAAACACGGAACAATGCTTTCTCCATGTCAACTCAGATTCGACAAGTTAGTTTCATTGTATCATTAGTGTAAATGTGTTAGCCTTGGTGGGGGGGGGGGAGTGGTTCAAGCTCTACATGTTGTGTATGTTAAGGCTGGTTTTCACTTGGTATGAAATTTGAGAGGGATACTGTGGAGTGAAAATCAAACTAATAAATCCTAAGCAGAAAACCTATTCTGCATACAACATTGTTGGTTATGAAAACTAGTTCAAATGTTGGACTTTGAGCACGAAGAGAGTCTTATCCTGCAAATGCAAACGGAAGAAAAAGGAACTATTACCCCTTTTTTAACTCAAATTTCATCAAAGTTTGGACTCTTCCGGTGACTCTGATTTTCAATTTACTCCAAGCCTTTAGCATTCTTAGGATTCAAAACACATCTCTGACTGCATTTCTTAGTGAACTCTAGACTTAAAAAATTATTTTTACAAATCAGGTTGTGTTTGGGTTGGCTAAGTGCCTTTCACAATGTCTGCTATTCTAAAATTAATGTTTTCTTTCTCCTTTCTCAGGAACTCATTCACCAACATACTCTGAGTATGGCACAGCTTGACCCAGATGATAACAGTAAGAAACAGTCTAGTTATGCTATGTGGTAGAAATTAAAAATATTATGTCAGCCACATTTTCAGTGGCACTGGCATCTAGAAATGATGTCATTATTTTCAGTGTGGATCTTTGAATATAGTATAATATAATTTTAGGTTTTGAGTAGAGTGGTTGGCTACCATGAACCTGAGAAACTCTACTTTGCCAGGCCAGAAGTCAGTTCTAAATCATTGAACTAATTGTGGTATTTGTCAAAATATGGTGAGAACAAAAAAGTGGGACATGAGAAGCAGCCGAGTGTGTCATTCTCCTCCAACAGGTCATAAATAAGAACCAATCAAAATGTCATTTAAGTCTTTCACTCCCAAGATCACATTGGTAATTCTTCTTACAGTCTGCCATACAATTCTTATGATGTTGATTCAGAGAATTAGGCATTGGATCAACCAATAATCTCCTAATTGATATGTTTCTTTATTCTCTCTACTTGTCTGCTTGATATTGTATTGATGATGTAAGGAGAAATTTTGTCTTGGTCACTCCTGGGAGTTACCAGTAAAGGGTTAAGTCTGCTTATCAATTATTTTCTGGTTGTTACCAATGTCTTCCACTTGTTATCTGTTGGGCTACTCGCCATGTCAACTATCCTCCATCTTATGTCCATGGCCCATGAAATTAATGCCAAATATATCTTACACTCAGAAAAGAATTATTTTTTGCACTGATGAATGTACCATATCATTGTTAGCTGTGCCACAGGAGGTTGACAGTTACCACACCCTGTGTCCAATAGAAGCCTTGGACACCCCAACTGAACAGGTATACTCAGTTCACTGGAATAAGAGACATCTCAACTTAAAAAGAATGTTCATTGACTGTTGATACAAAAATTGATTTTGAAAAAGGCAGTTACAAAGGACAATAGTACCTTAATTATGAGAGTTAAACTGGCATGCCTGGATTAATTTTTAGATTTAAATGGGTTTTTCCCAGTTGATGTTCTGAGCCACTTGTT